CACACACACACACACACTCACAATCAATCAATCAATCAATCAATCAATATCGATCAATCAAACTTTTTTTTTTTCAAGTTTTTTGTTTATTTATTTTCAAATTTTGTATCTTTATTTTTCTAAAACACCTCCTACCCCTGCAAAAAACAGAAATTCATTTCCAAAAAATACAGGTGACCTCAGGGACCATATATCTGATGATAAAAAATGACCAAAAAAAAATCCAACTTTTCTTTATATATATATCGGGCAGTTCTATTTGACGATATATATATTATATATATATATTAAATCGAATTTAGTTTTTGATTTTTTTAAGATCCGAAACAAAGTCGGATTCCAAAAAAAAAAAAGTAAGTTTGTAGGGCTTAAAATTCCCTACAACCCTATAAGTTTTTGTTTTTTTTTTAGCCTATTATTTAATTCAGGAAAATTCTGGTAAAATCGTGTCCGCGGCGCGGACCAGGTAGGCCGCGGATGCGGACCCGCCTGCGTCCGCCATCCGAGATTGGACCCGCGGACGCGTCCGCGGGTGTTACATAGCCGGTGGGCCTTGGGGCCCTTTCCTCAGGCCAGGCCGACGGGACCCCCTGTTATAAAAGCAGGTACCGGCCGGTAAATCTGCACAGAAACCTTCGAAAACTTGCAAAACAGGACCGGTGGGCCTTGGAGCCCTTTCCTCAGGCCAGGCCGACGGGACGCCCTGTTATGAAAGCAGGTACCGGCCAGTAAATCTGTGCAGAAACCTTCGAAAAACGATATTTCTCCAACTTAAACCACGTTCTCTGTTTACAGTCTGTCTACAGTGTCTATAGTAAAAACATAGCGTCGCTGGCCAAAAAGGTACAACGACCAGGTACAGGGTAACTTTCAGCTCTATGAAACACCCGCGGACGCGTCCGCGGGCCCGATCTCGGATGGTGGCCGCATATGTGGCCACGTCCGCGGCCGACCTGGTCCGCGCTGCGGACCCCATTTTACGAGATTTTTCCTGTATTAAATAATTGGGAATATATATATATATATGGGGTTGTAGGGAATTTTAATCCCTACAACCCCATTTTTTTTTTTTGGAAACAGATTTTTTTTTGGAATTATAAAAAATAAAAAACAGAAAAGGTGGAGAAGAGAAATTTAAAAATAAATTTTTAAAAAGTTTTTTTTTTTTTGGGATTTTTGGTTTGCAGTTCTTTGTATTTTTCGTTTTTACGTTTTTTTTTTGTGTGTGTGTGTGTCCTAAGGAAACAATCAACGGAATGGGGAAAAAAAAAAAGTACATTTTTTTCCCGGGCCTTTTAATATTTGTGTGTGTGTGTGTGTGTGTGTGTGTGCGAGAGAGAGAGAGAGAGAGAGAGAGAGAGAGAGAGAGAGAAAGAGAGAGAGAGAGAGAGAGACAGAGAGAGAGAGCAGGTAAGTGTGTTTGTAAGAGTGTGTATGTGTGTGTGTGTGTGTGTGTGTGTGTGTGTGTGTGTGTGTGTATGTGTGTGCGGGCGCGTGGTGGGTGGCGGGGGGGTGGGGCGACCCCTCCCTCACCACTCAATCAATCAATCAATCAATCAATCAATCAATCAACGGAAAAAACAAAGGCAAAATCGAACGAATATTCCGCTAGAACATGGAAATATACAATACTGCGTGTATGTGTGTGTGCCTGTGGGGGGTGGACGGGCGACCCTGCCCCCACTAATCAATCAATCAATCAATCAATCAATCAATCAATCAATCAATCAATCAATCAATCAACGAAAAAAAAAAAGCAAAATCGAATGAATCTTCCGCTAGAACATGGGAATATACAATCCTACCTGTGTGTGTGTGTGTGTGTGTGTGTGTGTGTGTGTGTGTGTGTGCGCAAGTGGGGCCAATCAATCAATCAATCAATCAATCAATCAATCAACGGAAAAAAAAAAAAAAAACCTCGCTTTTTATTTTTTATTTTATATTTTTTTAAATACCTTCACTCACCCAAACCCCCCCACACAAAAATAGTTTTTTTTATTATTTTTTTGTTTGAGGGGGTGGGGCTGGGGATGCGCCGCCCCATGGCGCTTCCCGAATCCCGAACCCCCCTCCCCACTGGCCGCTATGAGGCCGCAAAGGCTGCGAGGCCGCACGGACACGCCTGCGGGGTCGCGGCCTAGGCTGCGGCCATGGACTTGGCCGCGGATGGCCACCGCCGAGGGTGTTTCGTAGCAGCTCGTCATACGGAAAAAAAAGGAAGTACTAAGAAGGTAAGGAAGTTTTCCTTGAACCTAGGACTTCTGTKAGCAGGCAGGGTAGTTAACTTTCCCTTTGGAGGTGACCGTCACGATGGTATCTGGGGGTTCTGAGAGATCTGAAGAGGCAGGCGTCAGCTCTCCTTCCACAGGATCACACTCCCAAGCAGGCTTCCTAATGCATTGATGGTATTCGCCAATCAGTCTTGCAAATTCACACTCAAACATGCATGCAACAGATGAGAATAACTTGGCGCTGTGCACCCAACTCAAACTCGGAGATATGGTAGCTTGCAACTCAACTCAAATCCAAGTTTACTTCAGTTGACTATGGCGCTGGGCGCCCACACTTACACGTTCTACTCAGAGTTCACACGCAACTCGACTCCGGATCACCCTGGATACCATGCACGCCAACCACTGCACACACACATACACACTCACTAACTGTCTATGGCTATGGCGCATGGCCACTAACAGCTAACTAGCCTATCACTAACTTCTGCCCWCTTCGTCTTCAGGCCATCTGCAGACCTCCCTTGCACAAGACGCCCGAGCAGCGCTTCCGCAGAGCTTCCGCAGGAATGAATGAATGGCTGGACGCAGCCTCTGGATTTATACTTCTGTGTTGCATTCGTTTGCCTTGCATCCCTGGCCCATGAGGCACACAGTCCCCTCTGTGGTACTTGCTGGACCGGACTGGTACTTTCTAGACTTTCCCATGAYTGCATAGTGACAACCCTACGACGCAGTGCAGTCGCACTGGGGTCCTACTATTTGCCCTTGCCACTTGTCCTCGTCTCCAACATGGGCTTGCTTTAGTCACTCCACTTGACCACTTGCCAACCTTCTAGAAGGACTGCAGCTGGACTTCTACTCTACAGGTCTATGGATCAAATCCTGGCTACCTAAGGACCTACGACAGACCTACTTACCACTGGCGGTTCTACAGGTCGCAGGTTCAATTCTTCAAGTGGTCACAGATATTGTACACAGGTAAGTTGGGGAWCTAGGGATCGAGCCCTGGGTCCTACATCAGCTACTTCGAACTGGTGAATACCGTTTCACTTCTGTACTAGGGATGCTGGACCCGGTTTCCATAAGGTGTTGCTCCCCGACAATCGATTGGAGGCATGATGATCCAAGCTGGTAAAGAAGTAGTATGCTCTCACGACCCTACTTAGCAGGCTTGAGGAGAGTTTTGTTAAAGAAAAAGAAAAAGGAAAAAGAAAAGGAGAGGAATTTCCTGAAAGCATGAACCCAAAAGCCACAAAACGCCAAACACTTATATTCACTCTGAAAAATATAAGGCCGAAGGATTTGCAGCATGGCTTCACGCATGCCCCACTCGCATACAAGCATYTAGTACTATTTGTTGTAAAGAAAAGCGGACATGCAAGTCTCGGATACTTGCAACCCAGGACAGATTAGGTAGATATGTCCTCGCAACAATTCGTCAGAATAATCAAACTTATTTGAATAAAGTCTCTTTGAATTGATGGGGATAATGCATTGGGAAGATAATGCTAAAAAACTCAACCATATACGAGAAAGTCATGAGGCAATGAGGCAACTTCGCCTGACAAAGATCAGCACATCAAAGTTCAAACCTATTTGACCTACCAACCATTGAAACCGTCAGGTTGCAACTTCGCCCGTTCGTGCTCAGTGAATCAAGCCTATACAACATGCCAACTAGTAGCGACTACCAAAAGCGTCCGCTACCCGCCCGAGCTGGCTACTTGAGTGAGAGGAGAGAGAGGTAACTAAGTCTTCTGAATCATCCTTTTAGATTTATAACTCCTTAGACGGGAGAGCTTGCATGTGCGAGATAAGCGGTGGAAGAGAAAGGGGAGGAGAAGGACAGATGCAGAAACTGGCAGAAAGCCTGAGAAAGGCTCTTAATTTGGTGTCATTCGTGGTCAAACTGCGGTGTGCGGGAAGAAGCCACTCTCCACACAACGGTGCAATCTCTACTGCCGTGGAGCCAACCCAAGAAAGTGGAGGGAAAGAAGTGGGGGATTACAAGAGTCATAAGGGAGAGATCATGGCACATAAAGAGACAAAGATCAAGAAGGAAGTGGGAAGGAAAGAGGGTTCAGAGCAGGGAGAAGACACAGTCGTCAGGGAAAGATGCAGGGCGGTTAAGCGTGGGTCCTCAAAGTAAGTGTGTGTAARCCGAGAAGAAAAGATGCCGCAGGCAGAATGCACGAATCAAGAAAACAAGAGAAAGATACTGCCGGGAAAGGAGCTTAGAGGGTTGTGACCGAAAACTAGAGCGCGGGCACAAGCACGAGTTCAAAAGAGATATTTTGAAGTTCCTGGGCACGCTCGGCGCTCGCTAAGGCGAAGAAAGATGAAGGTGTGAAAGGATATCAAACACCTATCCTGTCAACACTACTCAAACAAAAGGACAGTTTTTGTCAATTTTGAAGCTGCCACTTGAAAGGAGCTCAAAGCACGCGACTAGTACACACACCTTTTGAATCAAAACCAAAAAGGCTGTGCGCAGAAGATAGTGTGTCCTGGGGGCGAGTCCCACTTGGCAGGATCCTCCATTTCTGGCTGTTGATCTTTGTGATGTATGGTTAGAATTCGAGAGTTCGTGTAAGTGGGACTAGGCCCCCAGATAAGAGAGAGAGCCGCGGACTTACTAAGAAGGATGTGCACTGACTCTTAATAAATAGTACATCATTACGAGTCAGACAAAAATAAAATAACGTAATGCTCTTCTCCCCTTCTAGGCGCGACTCTAAGAAAAACCACTTCCTCACAAACCACTTGCAGGTCACAGGGCAAAGGCCATTGGCGCGCTCCGGGACTTCCACCTGGTTCTGTTCCAGACCTGGTCTCACTTTTGCAAGACTAGGTTCCTTGCATGCAATTCCTGGATTGGTGCGTCAGGTATGTCCGAGCCACCCCATCGGAATTCAAACCGGAACCACCCAACGGCTTGTGCAGCAGCATCACGAGATGCTTGGGTGCYGGAGGGAGGTCGAAATATGACATGTCGTTGTGGGGGCAAAAACTGCAAGATGTGGAGCACGAGCTGCTGAGGTAGTTCCTCCCACTGCGACCCCCTGAAGATGTGGGCGAATTGCGCGCAGGCAGTCTGGACGGGATCCCTCAGATACGAAGGGCGAAGTTGCAACTCAACAACCATCTTATCGAAGCAACCCCGGTGCATCGCGCCCAGCACCAGTTCTCGCAATCGAGCTGCAACAGGAATCACGCGCTCAATCTCGGACTCGCTGTCGTACTCGTACGACACAAAACTGACCGAAGACTTCTGAAGCTTCTGCAGAGATTTCATCACTTCCCAGTCCACGCTGTGTGGAGGGGTGGATCTTCTTTGTTTTGTACGAGATGCGAACATATAGCGCTCACTGGCAAATAGCGCCTCCCGGTGCTCTTTGAAAGTCCTAGTGTCTGTACCAGGTCCTTCTCCTGCTTCTCCTCCTCCTTGTCCTTCTCCCCCTTCTCCCCTTTCTCCTCCTTGTCCCCCTTCTCCTCCTCCTCCTCCTCCTCCTCCTCCTCCTCCTTCAGATACGCGAAGTGCATTTAAGAACGATGTTTTCTTCAGCACAGTAGGGACATCATGGTGGGGCTTGTACCCCCCCGGTTGAAGGTTTTTTGTGAGCACTTTCACCTTTGAGATTCGCCGCTCAAGCCAGTGGGCCCTTCCAACATGTGAGATGAGCAACCCTGTGTCCCGGTCCCAGACATCTGCGAACCAGCCTGATATCCACCTATCATCTCCGTAATGTCCCTGCCAGAAGAACATTTGCAGTGGGAGATGTCGGCCGTCACTCCCAATCAAGTCAAAATCCAGTCTTTCTACCCGCACCGTATTATCACCAAAAATGCAGTTCCAATAACGTACTGTTCTTGTAAATCCCAACAGCTGGTTCTGAATGACTTCATCGCTCTCAGTCCCTGTCATGCATGGGTCGATTCCGAAGCGGCGGAAACACGTTTTTGAACCCAAAGAGCTTCTCCAGCTCCAGCAATCTGTAGAAGTTGATTTGATTCCTTTGCAATCTAGGAGATCCCTAACAATAGAATCGTACTGTTCTTCCAAATCCCCAGCTGCACTGGAATCCCCAGCTGCATTGGAAACCAGCTTATGTGCACGATAATCACCCGCCTTACCATCCTCCTCCTCCTCCTTCTC